AGAGAAGTATTCCCTTAATCGGCTAACATTATTTGCTTTTAATGTGAACCATAGTCTTATGTTAAACTTGGCTAGAAAAGAGAAAGCGGTAGATTTTCATCAAATCTTGACTAGAAGAGTCGACCAAATCCAGCTGAAAGGTGCAGATTTGATGAGCTGATGAACTGTTGATATAAATCAATTCTGATTAAAAGAATTGTTCGCACAGTTTCTCTGATCTATCGAAACAGATTAGTTTAGATCAGAGAACGTTTCCAACAGTGTCTCAGACTGAAAGTAGAACTGAACCTGCCTATCCTTAATCTCGATTGAAAGGAGAGAAGGCTTTTCATAACGCAATTCTCTGCATTGCTTCTCTCACATTGAATTATATATGAGAAAAAATTTCATATTCAGGTAGACATTTCGGAAGTAAACGCAGCGGGTTCAAATCCGAATAGGTTGAATTAGATATGCACGTAAAGTGCTACACTTGCTCTCACGACGAGTGGACTATTGGTTGGACAAATTATTGGTCTACAAATGAATAGTTCTACTATGTGATCTGAATGAGTTCATGCTTAAACTGTAACATAAGATAGAACGTCGCTATTCGAATACATTAGTTGATTTATGCTGCACAGGAGCACATCTCGATACCTTTGAGGTCTACTTGAAAGTAGTCAGTCATTTTGTGCTGTGAGTTTGTAATAAAAATGAAGATAGGCAAAAACTCTTAGGATAAAGCTGATCGTGAATGTGAAAGTAAATAATTTAAGTAAGCCATGATCGTTCTGACCTGTCTTAAGGGTCTCATTAGTTGACTAAAACTTTATGTATATGTGTTCAAAATGCTTCAATATGAATCATAAGCAAGATATATACATTCGTCTAAAACATTTACTACAACTACATAGACCTTTAGTAATTTACAGTATATGTGTATTATTCGTGAGCCTAGTAAGCATCAGCACTTTTCATCCTGATTTCATAAATCTTTATATAGCTTTGATATTTATTGAATATACTATTTGCTCGAAATGTTTCAAAAGAAAGAACTGCAAACAGGACATACGATTTACTCTTTTATGAGTAAATTTCATAAAGAGTACATAAAAATAATAGTTGATATATTTTGGTTTTCAATATATGAATAGATACTGACTCAGTTTCTTTAAGAGGTCTCAGAAGAAAATGAAATTAAGTCAAAGACATGTGTAAGATATTCAACTTTGAGTGTTCAAAACAAACAGTTTTTGTTGAAGTGTGGTAAGAAAAAAGGTGAATGAGCTCTTCAGTTCATGTTAATCTTGACTCTCACCTTCACATTTATGCATATGCCTTTATGTGCGCATAGTTACGTTTACTCTTACATCGAGCCATCCGGCTTCCGGAGATGAACGACTTTATCAATTGTCTATTACGTTTTCTATCTAAAAGTACTTGACATAAAAGCAATATATGTGTTCTGACTTGCATCATTCTGGATATAGTACATAAGAATTGGTCTTACCCGAATTCTCAGTGTACTATTCTTTCCTATTCATCTGGTTCTCTCTATCAGTGTATATTCCATTTTTGTTTGGACTTTTTGTTTCCTGTTATCTTTTCGTTAGATATATACCAATCTTGCCCTAATAATTCTTATATAATCGGTAGGATTTTCTTGACTCTTTCATGGATAGTAACAAATCTAGTTATGATTACTAACCTATGCATATCTGTTAATTTTATAATGCACGAAGAGGAAATAAGTTTGATTTGATAAACATTAAGTATATCTGATTCTGATTCCATAAGTAAACATTTATGCATAAAAGTGCATCACAAATAAAACAATCCTTGATCATATGTATCAAAATACTTATTGTCATTGAAATAAATGAAGCAATAATTTATTCCAATATTATCAAGTACTGAAAGGATATGCATTATGCCACTCATCACCTGCATGTTGTGGTCAAGTAAGCATTCTGTAACGAGTTAGAACCCTTTTACATGTTTGTTTTGAAAGACGGTCTATAGTTCATGACATACTTTAGGACTCGTAGATAACTTTGTCAGAAAAAAATTCAATATTACTCGAATCCGTTTGTCTTCTTTTATTTAACATGATTCTAGTTTTTGACTTTCCCATCTAAGCAGCCATATACATGAAATGAGACTATATGCATACAGTAGAAGATATTGAGTGAATAATCTACATCTTGAGTGTGATCACATCATGAACCTATATGGGCTATCGATCACATCCCACAATTTACAATATGCTTAGACGATAAGTACTCGCAAAAAGAATAGTGGGATTCATTGAATATATGATAAAAAATAACGCGATACGAACTAAACAGAGCCTACTGCAATAAATTATTACTTAATCAAGTCGGCAATGCATAAGTAAAACGATTAAAATACGGAAACAAGAAATGAGATGCCAATAGTTGATTGAATGAAGTCACATAGCATACAAATCTTGTTCATTCGAAATCCATAAAAAGGATCTACCAAGACTTTTAAATTTGGAAAATAATTGGCAATTGTTGTTTGTCATTGAAGACCAGACAACTGATTAATTGTCGAACACGTCTCATTTGATATTCAGAATTTTTGAGGCAGCAAGAAACATGAACTGGTTAATGGCATGTTCTAATGATCTATGATATTTGATGTAATTGGCTAGATGTTAACATTAACGCTAAGATTTCTGTGTAAGTTTTCTTAATAAACACATTTAATCGAATCGAAATTTCGTAAAGATTAATCAAAGATTTAATTTGAAAATGAGCAAGACAGTTTAACCAATTATGATCAGTGATGACTAACAATAATTAAAATCATGAATCTATTTGGCAGCAAAAAAAGTGCCCTTCAGCGAATTCCAACGTTCATTGTCGAAAACAATCAGCCAATTCGTAAGAAATAAATTAATCACATCGAGCTCAATTCATTCATTAATCAAACCAGCTAGGTTGAAGAAAAGCTCGACATTCCTCAATAGCTTTTTTTTCTGTGTATGTTATCAATACTCATCAACGATATATCGAAGTTAAGCGAGAATGACACGTTTCACATCGACATTTGCGATTTAGTTATCGCAGGACAGAAATTAATTTAACATGAAACGATTCATATAATAAATATTAACATCCAATATGACCACTGATGGAACGAGCAAATAGATGAGCCACATGTAAGCGCTTTCTCTGTGTTACTACAAATATAGCCTAATTCTATCATCATAAAATTGATCTGATACTAACATTCTTATCTCTTCATACACGCTCATGCCGTCATACCCAGCATAAGAGTAGTGAAACGCATTATCATGCCATAGTGTTTATCGAGAACTGCCATTTTATTTGATACTCATTCAATATTTGCTCAATTCCAGAAAATGCATGTACAGGGTGCGTAAAAATATTGTTCAAGGAGGATTACCCTGTAACTGCAAATAACATCAACAACACATTTTATGCCAAATTAAAGCTCATCGAAAAACAAGATTTACCAATGCTGAATAGTATGCATTTGGGTACCTTTCCAATATCGAATTCAGAAATTCCTAAAATTATAGGCCATATCAACAGAAAAAAATTCCTTCCGCAAGACAGTTCAAACTAGATCTCATTTAGAACAATGAATATCGAAAAGGATTGTTTCCATGACATACGATTAGGTAATAGTTGCTCCGAGAAGACGGATTTAGATGTGGATGAAGAGGCGACGGACATTTATACCCATATATACAGCCTCTTGCATACTCGCCCACACTCACAGCTTTCCTTATACACAAAACCCACACTCATAATCAATAGTAAGTTTGACAAGCATTAGCGTCTTTACAGAAAGAAGATGAGACGGATACGAACATAAAATAATTTAAAATAGCTCAATGTTTATTGCCATGTTTGTCAAAACATAGGAAATATGTTTTCTTAGAATTTCTTCATGAAATCGATTGTGTTTCGTGTATGGTAACCATGTTTTTAGCTTCATTCTGGATTATTGCCCTAATATTGACAGGTCAGATATCCAGTACTTTTCGATATTCATCATTTTAAATGATATCTAGTTTGAACTGTTTTACGAAAGGAATTTTTCTCTGTTAATATGGCATACTATTTTAGGAAGTTTTTTAAATTCGATACTGAATAGTTGTCCTAAAGCTTACTATTTAGTATTTGTGAATTTCATGTTTCAACACGCCTCAATTCGGTATAAAATTTGTTGTTAATGTTATCTGAAATCACAGCATTACTCTCCTGAAAAAAATAATTTTATACACACTGTACAAAAAAATGAAATGAAAAATAAAATTAATATCAGAATCAAGAATGTGCGTGCGTTCGAAAAATGATTGCATAGTGTGTTGTAAAAAAAGAACAAAAAAAAACATACGCGGCTCATTGTTGACGAAACGAAAGATGACTAGCAATTCTTTTGGACGACAAATATACGTGCACACAACACTCAGCACATTTCTGTTGCTTTTTTTTAAATAATATTCAGGAGGAGTAAAGCTGCAGTCAGATTTTATTATAGTTTATCTTTATTTGCTTTAAAAATAATTGCTCTAAAAAAGAAAAAAGAATGAGACTTCAGGTTTACCACCAAGAAAGCAGTCGATCAATCTTACATCTACAGGAAACCTGACTGATCACCTAGGAGTTGTGTATTTTTTTTTCACAGACCTAGGAAGAAGGTATTTTTTATATGAGCCTTCCTTCCACTCTCATTCACAAATCTCTCACACGATTAGAGCCAAATAGACCTCTAAAACTAGACTTATTTACTCTTACCGTCTATCAAGTATTGTGTTTTGGTAGAATGGATGATGTCTGATGATCCATCCATGGTATTCTATGTAAACAAATTCCTGCTATCCGATCATTTTGATTAACCAATCAATTGTATGAACTGTTTGTCGTGCTTACTATCGCAAGGAGAGAATGAATAGACAAATTCAAACTGTCCCTCAATTTTATGCTATAGATATATTTTGTTCTCTTTTTTGTAGATTGATGACTACAGCTAGTGGAAGAGTGAGCAAAGATGCACTTCTGCCATCATCTGGTTTCGCCTTTGGTGGTGGAACAAAGCCCCTCTCTGAACTGGTGTTCAAAAAATACGATTTAGATAACAATGGTAAAATATTCGTCTTCATGTCTTTTTTCATATACTCGCTTATAATTCTTTGTTTCAGGATGGCTTTCTCGTAATGAACTTCGTTCTATGTGCTATGATATGGGTTATTACCTTTCCGATGATGAGATAGCTTGGGCATGGACAGTACTCGATAAGAATGGCAGCGGAACAATTGATTACAATGAATTCGCTGAATGGTGGAAGAAATCATCTCGTTTCGATCATTTGAAAATGCCAAACGAGCAGCAAGCACATCTTCTTTGTCGAGTGGTCGAAATCTTTCGTTCATATGATAAAACTAATATAGGGAGTCTTGATCGAGCTCAATTCACTACTATGGTACATGAACTTATTGATGAAGGTATTATAAATGGTAGCGAACATCTAGCTTGTGAATTTGAACAGATCGATCGTAGTCATGATGAACGAATCAATATCAATGAGCTCATCGCCTGGTTAATAAATGTCGGCGTACTCAGAAATAACGCTTGAAAATTCTTAGAAAATCCCTTGAACTCTTTTTGTGATACATGCATCTTATGATTTATCCTCTAGAATCGAACGTATCTTTGAGGAACATTACTGTTCTTGATTGAAAATTTCACTGAACATTATCTGATCCATAATCAACAGCCTATAAATGAAAGATGGCATTTGATAAGTTACAAAACTGAGGTTTAAGTTCTTATTGTATTCCTATTCCTAAAGAATAAAAATGTCGTTAAAGCCAAAAACACGTTTTCATGGGAAAAACTAGTATCATATCCCGATGCAGCTACCGGCACGTGTTTACTTTTAACATTTGTCACTTTCAAGTACTCAATGTGTGGAAAAAAAAATTTATATATAATATATAAAAGGTTGTCATTAAACGAAAATGAAGTAGTAGAAAAACCCATGATAAGTTTATAATCAAGGATGCAACAGAAGATCTAGGGTCTTACATTCTAGAGAGAGGTTCACTACTTTATACGTCAACTTCAACGTCAAAAAATGCTATTTCCTTTTTAGTCTCATTTTGTTCCTGATGAGATCTTTCATCAAATACAGATTGATGAAAGGAGTGTTATTTCTGATTTGTTTCCAGAATAGATGGCATGTCTGATCAGGCCTTTTTTTTCATTCGTTCATAAATTATTACATAAGTTTTATAAATCAATTTAATTACATGATAATCAGCGTTGCGATCAAACAGATAGTACTTTTTTTAAAGTCTGTCAGTGTTCTTCTCAAATTGAAGAAAACAAGAAAAATCAAAGAAAAAGTATTGCCAAGAGCAGGAACACATAACAACATGAGACGAATAACTATGATTGTTAAACTTATTCTCACTTATTTCTTGATATTTTTGACTAGTTGACTACTCTTGATCTTATTTCTTATTAAATCCTCCTTCATCAATCAATATTCACTGAAACTTGAATTTGTTATAGCATCAAATAAGTAGATGGCTCTGTCTATTAACATGAGACCTAAATCTTAAATATGTTGGATTCAATTGTTAACCAATCAAATTTTGAGGCGTCGGATGATGATGATGATAAAAAAGGGTTCTCATTGCATTCTATCGTCGTTTTTTTTTCTTTTTTAAAAATAGATCTGACATCATCTTTAGAGAACAAAATGCAATCTGCTGTCGAAAAACTTCGTAAATATCGTGATGAAAACTATCGTTCAAATGATGAAATAGTTGAAATATGGACACAAGTTTTATCTCAACGTAATTTATCATCATTAGGTGATGAAAAATGGTTAATACTTGAACAAGTATGTAAATCAGCTTTACATTGTTCAAAACAACTCATTGCTCGTCAATGTCTTGAACAATTAGAAAAACAATTTAAAACAACAAGTCGTCGTGTAGCAACATTAAATGCCATGTTTTATGAATCGATTGGAGAATTTGAAAGAGCTGAAGAAACTTATTCAACATTATTAGAAGATAATGAAACAGATGCTATTGTACGTAAAAGACAAATAAGTCTTTTAAAAGAACAAAATCAAATACGTGAAGCTATTAGTGAATTAAATTCATATTTAGAACTTTATCAAGTAAAGAAAAAAAAAACCAAGTATTTTCTTTTTGATTTTATCTATTTTTATTTTAAGGCTGATCAAGAGGCATGGAGTGAATTATGTGATCTTTATTTATCTGAACATGATTATACAAAAGCTGCATTTTGTGCTGAAGAACTTCTTTTAATAAATCCTCATAATCATTTAAATCATGAACGTTATGCATCTATTCGTTATTCTCAAGGTGATTATGATAAAGCACGCACTTATTATTTTAGTGCATTAAAAATAAATCCAATAAATATTCGTGCTTTATATGGAATTATTTTAACATCAACAAATCTTACTATTAAAACAACATCAACAAATCCTAAAGCACAAAATTCAAATGAAAGCAATAATTTATTTATTGAACAAATTCAATGGGCACGTGAACAAATTATACAAAAATATAGAGAAACTATTCCCGATCTTCTACCTATTGTTGAATCAGCAATACAAAGTTTAACATTGTAAAAAATAAAAGCAATTCTTTTTTTTTTTTGTTTTTTTCTTCATTTTATCCAATAGAATAGTTGGTTTTGTGTCATGTTGTTGTTGTTAATATTTAAAAAAAAAACTAGAGAATGAAAACATAAAGATGTTAATCTTATTGTTTTAGATGTTCAGATGGATTTACAAAATAAATACCAAATATTAGCAAGTGAATTTTCTAAAGTTCGAGGACAAGTAACTGTTTTAAAAAAAGCTGTTATTGATGAGCAAAATAAAAACCAACAACTACAAGTAATTTATATTTTGTTAGCTTAATCATTTGATTTTTTACTATTTCTTTTTTTCAAGGAAGATATTAATAAAAAAGATCAAAATTTAAGACGAAATACACAAGAAATCGAAACACTTTCATTTCTCAATACACAACTTAAATCTCGTCTTGAAATTCTTCAACAAGAACTCAATGAAATTGAAACAAATACGAAATTAAAAAAATCAAATAGCAGTAAAACATTACAGGCTAATCCATTTAATGATAATGTGCTTGCTCAAGAGCTTGAACTAAAAATTAAACAGTATGAAACAATTCAACGTCGAGTATGTTTTGTATTTTATCTTTCTTTTTAAAGAACTAGCTAATACATAACCTAAATTTGGCTAATCTGTTATTATTTACAATTTCTCGAATATTTTGTATATTTAAATTATGTCTTATGCAAAAAGAAAAAACGCGTAAATTTTGTTTCTTAACATAGATTTATGAGTTAGAAAAGCATATTACAGAAGGTGAAAATGAACGATTGACAAATCGTTCAACTATAGAACAGTTGCAAAATCAAATGGCAGAAATGCAAGAAAGTCATCAACGAGCACGTGATGAATATGAAAGAATATTAAAACAATTCAAACAAGAAAATGAATTACTTAATGAACAAGTTAAACAACATTTAACTGAACAATCATCATCTGCTGCTATCAGTCGAAAATCGTCTGTTACTATTTTTTTCGAATTCTTTTTTTTCTGAATATTTCGTTGTTAAATTATAGATCTACTTTAAATCAACTAGCTAAAGCCGTTCATGAATCAACTCCACCACCACAACCTGAAATATTTTTGCATAAATATTTAAATGCATGGCGTGATGCATTCACAGAATTAACTATTTATATTGAAGAACGATTAAAAAATAATAATCGATCTTCAGAAAATACTGAAAAAGTAATTTATCGTTTCAATCATTCTTGTTTATAAGAAAGCAAAGAAAAAAAGAAAAACATTTTTTATTAATTAGATGGCTCATACAGTAAAAGCTTTTCAACAACATGCAGAGAATTTTCTTGTCGCATTAAAAACACGTTTGTTCGATAGAAAAGTAAAGAAATAAAAAAATGAGAAAAATTATTTTATTTAATTTTTAATTCTTTGTTTTCTTTTTTTTGAAGTCCTCACAAGGAGATACAAATACAACTGATTTTGCTGAATTATTTAGTATGTTTGTTTCATCATGTGAAAAAGTACTTGCTTTTGCTATTAAAAGGTACATATAGCTTATTTTAGAATACAATGATTTTGTTTTTGTTTTGTTCAGTGTTTATGATGAACCTAAATTTAATTCTTCACAAGAAAATCAAGAAAATATTTATGAAAAAATTAATGAGTTAAATGATGTACTTAATCAATTATTTCAACGATGGGCAAATAATTTATCTCAATTACGTGAAATAGCTGTTGCCATTATTCAATTTGGTAATTTAAATATATATCTAAGCTGTGGATCATAAATAATTGCACAATTTATATTTCGTTTTTTTCTCAGTCAGTTTTCATTATAGAGATTTTAGCTTAGTTTCTCAAGATTATCTTTTTCAATTGTCTACAACTATTAAATTAGAACATTTAACCTATATTTTCAATTTAAAAATTGACGGAAGGATAGTAGTCTTCTGCAATATGGATGACTTCCTAACATAAAAAAAAATGTTCTGCGGCTAAATCAAGGAAACTCTTCCATCCTGGATATTAAAATCAAAATCTTTTCGATTTTTAGTTTTGTATCACTAATAGCGCTTCGAAGCATTCTTTGTCAAATGCCATATAAATGTGAGTCTTGCATTGTTAGTTAGTACTTTTATTAAACTCAATTCTCGACATTCCGATCAGAATAAGTCACGCTACAATTATTCTTTGTATGCAAAATTCTCCTAAGGATAATGAATGTTTCTCATTTCAAAGGTGCTGAGAGTATAGATCATGGATCTTAAACACCGCTGAACACAACTATCTTTTGATCACTGTAGTTAGAGAAAAAAGAAGTTCTGATAAGTACAAGAGAATTTGTTTTTCGTTTGTCTTGAAAACCAATTTCGTACACAAAAAATAGGGTAGAATCGTCTGAGTTTCTTTGCTTTGAAAAGTATTGCAATGTTGATTCTACAAAGACAGCTCTAGTAAAAAAGAACATGTATTTTGGGGGATACGCTCAGCATTTTGATCTTTTTATTCCAATGAAAGAGAATAAAAAGAAACTAAAAATATTAGACACACAAAACCGTGTCTAGTATCTATACAAAAATATTTCAGGTCTCTCAGATGTATAGCAACTGAGAAAGTGAAGCTATAATTGGCTTTCGCGACTCAACTATTATGTAGAAGAAATTGTTTAGGAATTCGGAGTGTATGGCAACTTTTGCTCTACTCATCAAGACCTACCTATTCTAAAATTCTCAAATATTTCTGATGAACCATTATTCAGAAACTCAAGAAAGAGATAGTCTCCTTAAACCTTTTCGACAATAACATCCGTCACTCAGAAAAGTATACGCTACAGAAATTTAGGCCCATAGAATTTTAGACCCGTGCTTAAATTGTTCTCATTGATCCCTATAAAAGGCTTTATTTCTTTAATTAATTGCTACATTCCGTAGTCCTCAGCAATAACAGAATCTAATAACTAACGAAAACAATAAAGCTTTTTATAAGG